CCCCCCCCAAAAAAAAAAAAATATAATAAATAGTATAGGTGATTAGTAAAGCCCTTAGATTAACCGGCATCGGCTTAAAGAAGAATGTCGCTCCGGACCCGTGAGCTAATCGCACACCACACGCCCGTATACGCCCGGTGCCTAACTCCTGAGGCTGCCAGGATAAACCCAGCTTTAGGGTTTAGGGTTTAGGGTTTAGCTTCAAGCCTGCGGCTTTAGCCCAAGTCGAACCCTCTATCCCCAACCCCATATCCCTGGGACACTTTGCCGAGTCACTCGAAGACAGGGCCGCCAGTGCTTGCGGTTCGCCTGCCAGGGTCGTGGTCCTGCTTTGTCGTCCAATCGGGCGTCGGAGCAATTGTCATATCTGTTGGCACCATCTACCAAACAACTTAAGTGACCGAGGAATATTTTTGGAGACGGGTGACTCCAATGCAGTTGCTGGTAGTTGTGGTGCTGGCAATAGCGGCAGTAGCAGTGGCGCTAGGAGGAAGCGGGGTCGTTATGGGATAGAAGCGGCAGTAGGACAGGGGCTTTGGGACTCGGGAGGTTGACCGAGTGGATCGAAGGACAAATCAGTCCTGAAACAGCCCCAGCAACGACTTTTCGGGCTCTTTGAGCTCCCAGACCCTCACTGCTTCACACTTCTTGTCCATGTGCCGGGCGATGGCAAGATACTTCGCTTTCGTCTTCATGACATCCTTGTCCTTGAAGTCTTTGTCCAAAGCCTCTGCCTCTGTTCCCACAGCTGTGTCTTGCGCCCAGGGGCCACCGTATCCGAAGTTGTGGCCATCCGACGGGTTCAGGTTTAAGGCAAGAGTCCAAACTGTTTCCTTCTTCTTGCAGAGCTTTAGGGCGAGGCAGTTGGTCCCGCTTTTACCACACTGGGCATAGCCTCCTTTATCGAGCTTGGTGAAGTGCCCCTCGCAGTCATTGTCGACCAAAGGCTCACAACTCGTGTGCCCATGGGGAGACTCTGTGCCCTTGCAGGAAGGAGTCTCATCAGTCTGACTCTGGATCTTCATTGCAAGCGTTCCGGAGCCAAAGAGAGCTGTCCATGACAGGCAGGTCAGGACGCGTGCCGCCATGACTTCAGTTGGCTCGGGATAAATTGGATAAAGCTCTCGACTGTAAACCAGCAGAGCTGATCGACAGGTTGGTGTGGAACTGCTATGTGTCTTGTGTTGGGGGCTTCAGTTGTAAGCACAGGTCTGCTGAGTGTGCCAGAGCTGTGCATGCAGAACTCTTGAGGCAATTTAGCACCCGGCGCCAGGCTGAATGCCAACGTTCAAGTAGGGCCTGTACATCAAAGCCTGCACCGCAGAGGCTGCAGGTGGGATGTTCCAACTTGGGCTGCCTAACTGGCCCAACAGGGATGTATTGTGCTGAAATACGACCGGCGGCTGCCAGATCTTGAGCGTTGGGGATTCTGGTATTTTAGACCCTTCTGTCCAACATGGGGACCTCAAGGACAGCCCAAGCGTGCTCGAAGCGGACAGCCCCCTCGTTGTTCGCCAGCGAATGTCGGGCTGCGTAGCCTGGAAGCCCAGTGTGTCGCGGGATGCTCTACGTCGGACTTTGCCGGCCTTCAGAGTAGGTGCATACGTGTATGTGTGTGTGTGTATATATGTATATATATATATATATATGGTTATGTGCACATACATGTAACTCTTAAGAAGTTTCAGCAATCATGAAACCAATCACAACACTTTCATCATCACCAGTGCTATCGCGATATTGGCTGTATGGCATGGCCTTAACCATAGGAGGCCTCCGAGACTCGAATCTAGAGTTGGAGCATCGGCTTCTCTTTTGCATAAAGCAGCGGCCTTTATGATTTCAATAGGATTTTGGGCTATATTCTACTACAATTATTATAATCAGGAGCCCCCCAAACAATCCAGGTCATGATTAAGGCCCCTATATTACTCTTGTGGAGCAATGCCCTAATGCCTAGAAGCGTACGGTAGGGCCCTGCTCTGGCTGGTTGTGAGGTTCCTACTTGGAGGATCATGGGACTTAGTAAGTAAGGTTTAGGGTTTAGGGTTTGGGGTTTAGGGTTTAGGGTTTAGGGTTGAGGATCATGGGAATTGGTAAGTAAGGTTATAAGTCCCTTAATTGGGGTTATAAGTATAGTTACCCTAATTATAACCCTACTTACTAAGTCCCATGATCCTTCAAGTAGCTGGCCCAGCATCAGGCAGGAACATGTGGGATCCCAGTGGGGGCTGTTCCTTTAGTGGCAGCCTGGGTTGGCATATGTCCTGCGATTCCATGTCAAAACGAAAACAGCCCAACATGGTGATGCACGAAGTGTTTCGGACTGCACGCGTGGAGGAGGATTCCTTGAACTATGTAGTCAGATCTCCGACACGCGCAAAGACTCAGTTGGCAACGGATGCCCTTCCACAAGTGCTCAGCCCAAGGCCCACTTCTGCAACAGCCTAGGAGGCAAGAAAAGGGCAAACGCCCTACAGAAATCCACAGGTTTTGATCGTGACGACACTGACCTGCTAAGACGCGATCCAGATGCATGTCGGAAGCGAATTGTTCGGGCATCGACGCAAGCAAGCAGATAGATAGCACATAGATACTGAGCTGTGTTCAGCTCATCTTTGAACGAAAGGAGTCAATACTGCTGCATGTCCAGAAAAAAGTGGCACATCATCATGATTACGTCATCCGTCCATCATCCATCACCGTCTTCTGTTTCATCACCATAGTCATCATCATCAACAACGTGCTTCATCCATCACCGTCTTCTTCATCATCACCGTCCTCGCCCTCATCATCATCATCATCATCATCATCGCCGACCCCTGCGAACCAATGCCCTTCCGCTCCTGCTCGGAATGACCTTCAGCATTGAACTGTTATCGCCAGCATGACGACAATCGATGTTCGCCGTCATCACCAACGACTGTTGGTCATCATCATTGCCGGCATCGTCATTATGCAGATTCTGCCCCTCCGCGACCATATTTCCATCTTCATCGTGGTCCTCCTCATTGCAACCAGAAGCCTCCTAATCAGTATGGATAGGCATGGTTAACTTATGTCCATGAAATCAACACCATTATGCTTAATTACAATTGCGCGATTAGCACTGTTGACATCACCATTCTTGATCGGCGCGGCCATCAACGCCATCATCAACCTCGCCGCCGCAACCACCATTGCCAGCACAAGCAGAAGCAATCTCCTTATCATTCAGGGCAACCATGCTTGTCTCTCCGTATCCCCCTCTCCTCCTGCTCCCCTCCTCCTCCTCCTCCTCCTCCTCACCATCATCAACAACATCTCTTGGCGGATTTCCACATGGATGTCAACTCTGATGACTCTAATGATGATGGTGATGGCGATGATGGTGGTGGCGGCGGCGGTTGTGGCTCTCATGATGGTGGCAACTCCGATGCAAACGAGGTGGTGATGCTGATTCTTGGGTCGTCCAACTGGAACCAACATCATGTTCAGCTCCAGGCCACGGTCTAGGGCTGCGGCCCCCCAAGCAATGGATGAGCCAGCAATACCCATCTTCCGGTCGAAATCCACGACACTCTCAATGCCCGTGTTACCACAAGAGTGGTTACTCCTGGGGTTCAGGGATAAGCTTTCGGGGCTTCAGATGCAAGTTTGGGGTGCGGAGCTTTCAACTGATGTAGTCCAGAGTTGAAGGGAGCTGAACACAGATGGCTCTTCCAACAAAGCAAGCAGTGCACAAGGTCGCTGGAGGTTTTCCGCACATAAATTTCCCAACAAGAACTTCTCAACAGAACTGAGGTAATGCAACAAAACCGGAAGCAACGAACTGACGCCGAAGCCGTGTGCAAACCTTCAAAGAGACCCATGTCGTTGGGAGAGACGACCCTGAAACATCCCTGCGAGCAACATTGTGAAACCATAGTGATATGTCAGACCACTTCCCCCCGACTCATGCCATGGGAGCAAGCGTGCCAGGTTGGCTGGCCCGGACTGCCACCAAAGCCAGCCATGGATGACATGACAAGGTTCACCTCCCGGCATGGAGCAGAAGCATGACTTAGCGCAACACACGTGTATGTCTACAAAATGTATGCATGGGTGGAATGGATGGATGGATGGATGGATGGATGGATGGATGGATGGATGGATGGATGGATGCCTGGAATGTGTTGTTATGAAATGTCATGGAATGAAAGCTAACGTAATGTAACTGTATGCAATGTAATGTTATGTAGTGTACTGTAATGCACTGTTATGTGCGTATGTATGCATGCATGGATGAATGGATGGATGTGTTGCTGGGTGGATGGATGGACGTGCGTGTGTGTGTGTGTGTGGACGGGGGGGGGGGGGGGGGGGGGTCTTATCCTCGCTTCTTTTGATTCTTAGAAACTTTGTATTCATTTCATTGTCTGTGCATATATATATATATATACATACACACGTACGTCCTTAACAAACGCGCAATACAGAATTATGGGATATAAGGTTAGCAACAGAGAGGGACGGTGGCATTTGAGATATGAGCCATCGCGAGTCACCGCGGGGAGGCCTCTGTCTACTTTTCCCAAACCGTTATCTGCTACATGGCTTTGAACCTGCATGCAGAAGTTCTGTTGCCATGAGCTTCTTTGCTTTCGCTCGGGCTTGGATCTCCAGGCATCAAGCAACATCAGCCTCAAGCCACTATGTCATTATGTAAGGATTCAAACCTCTTCACCCCAGCAGCACGAGCAAGACGACTCCCCCAACATGCCTGCAGCTTTTGCAGGCTGTAGCCTCTGCTGCAGTGCCTTATCCAACGCGGACAAGCGCAGACTGACAAGACACAAAAGACACCAGCGACGGCGAGAATGATGGTGAGAGCGCTAGCATTTGCATACTTGCTTGCTCCGCCGCGAAAGTTCACGAAGGCCTCTCAAGCAGAAGCTCCACGGAATGTTCATGTGCTATGGGAACCAAGATCAATAACCTGTCTCCACAACCGGTGGGTTACACGGTTACCTCAACTTATTGCTGGTTAGGGACTCATTCTGGCTACAGAAGCCTCACACCTCGCCAAATCACGTGAACCCCAGGAACCCTAAACCGCACGAATTAACTCGAAACCCCAGACCTGTGATCCGCTGCACCAGTTTCGGAATCTGAGGGATGGACAGGTAGTAGCAACCATGAAGCTTGGGGCCAAAGACCTGCTCAGGTTCGAGGCTTTGGGTTTGGAGTTTCGGGTTTTGGGCAAGAGATGCATTCTGCGCAAGTTGTGGTGCAAGGAAGCAGGTGCCCTTCAAACTTCAGAAAGAACAGTGACCACATGTCAGTATCCTGTATGCAGCTTCATATGCAAAACATGTATTGCTAGAGAACTGATCCTGGAAGCTGCTGTTGTTGTTGTTGTTGCTGATCTGGTTGTTGGTGTTGTTGTTGTTGTTGTTGCTGCTGCTGCTGTTGTTGTTGTTGTTGTTGTTGTTGTAGAGATTCGAGGCGTGGGGCAGGGCCTTTGGGCTCAGCCTTTTGCGAAAGTAAGGCTTGGTATCCTAGCGCATTAAACCAACTGTTCGACTGCTGTTGGGGCCGGGGTGTAGAACTCAAGGCCGTGAGGGCAAGTAGGGTATGGTGCATTAAAGGGTTTAGGTTAGGTCCGTCTAGGTTCGGTGCTGATTTCAAACATGACCATGCCGAAGTTCAACCCGGTACAAGGCAAAAACCCTCCCAGATTGGATTCAAAAAACTCACACGATTTGGTCAGCTACCCTTCAAACTTCTTCATCGACGGGAAAAGGCTCGCTATCTACAGTCATAGGCAACTTGATACTGAAGCCAGATACAAAGCGACCAAACTGAAGATCAACCGCTTTGCCAAGCATCGCTTCGTGTCTACATCTAAAGCGTCAGCCTCATGCGAACCCTACCGCCCAATCCTCCACCAGAACCCCACAATTACCCTAAACCCTAAACCCTAAACCCAATTCCCTGCCTCCTCGTACTTGGCACGAGTCTGCTTGGTGATGGTGCCATCGGACAGCACTCCGGCAGCATGGACGACGCCGGCCTTCCAGGTGGACAAAACCCGTTGCAGGCTTTGGGTTCCACTCCATGGGGCTTCTAAGATACTAGGATTCCAGGGGAAAGGTCAATCGAGGTGAAGCCAAAAAATCACAGGGTGTAAGGCTTGGGAGCTTAGGTGTCAGGGTTGAGGGTCTTTAGATTAGGTGGAGATTCAGCTTCTGGAGGGCAGCGAGAACTCACGCCCTGCAAAACGGGGAGGCACCTTCGGCGAGTGTTTGGGGCCTAAGGCCTCAGGCCCTCACCTGGCTTTGGAAAGAGAAGCTGTTCCTCCACATAACTGAGTCTTTGTCACATGTTGAGAAAATTGTTCAACTGCCCCCCACCCCCCCGCCCCCGCCCCTCAAACACCCTGAAGCCTAAACACCTTTATCCCGAATCCCTGATCCAAAGCATGGACGCCCAAATCATCGGACCCCTACGCCGTCACTGTCCCCGAAAACTTAAGCCCAAAGCCTTAAACCCCAAAACGCCCAAAGCCGAAAACCCAAAATGCCCCACAAACCCCAGAGACTCCTCGTAAAACCCCTGACAAGATTCTTGCAGAAATCTTGAAACACACCCTCTTGCGAAGCCCCTGAACTCCGAGGACCCGGCGCACGCCGGCCACGCCGGGGTTTCCTCGAAGAGCCGCGCGATCTGCGTGGGGTCGGCCACGTTGCCTCAGAGGCTCAGAGAGCTTCGGGAATGGGGTGTCGGCTAAGGTTTAGGGTTTAGGGTTTAGGGTTTTGCAGATTCCCAGTGCTTTAGAGTTG